AAGAGCCCCCTGCACTGGCGCGAGGGCTCACCTGGCCCAGCATTCTGCTTGCACCCAGCAGCCCCAACGGGAAGCCTCCCACTCATGCTCCCCAGCAACGGGTGCAACTTGTTGGCTGGGTCCCACCGCACGGCCTCCGTGGCATGAGGATTTTTGCCCAAATGGACTGGTCAGATGGCTGCCTGGTTCCCATGGCAACACGGTCGCCGGGCCCCTCGCTCTGTCCTCCACCTCTCGCCAAATCTCCCAGCAGCCCCTGCAAATGATGCCCCCGCCCCTCCGGCTCCAGTCTCGGCTCGGGACCACCGCAGCCTTGCCCTGCTCGGCCCCCTGTGGCCCTGAGGTGGGCTTCCCCTCCCAGTGGCCCTGCTTGTCTGGCACTTCCCCAGCTGCTCCAGCCCCACGGAGATTTTTACTAAATGAGAATAAACAGTTTTGCTACGATTCCCCCCCTTTGCCCTCCATGGATGACACATTACTCAGCCAATGGGAATTAAGTGAGCCCCCCCCCCATTGCTAGGATGCTGAGGGCAGTAGAAATTGAAGGCTAGAAGTGGCCCCACCCACTGCTGCTCTTGCCATGGGACTCTATGGTGTTTCCAAACCGGCCACGGGAAATGGCCGTCCGGGGTCTGGATGGCTGGAGAAGCGGCTGTGGAGCTTGGGGTGTGGAGACCTGAGAGCGGGCTGTGGATTGTCTCGAAGGTTTTGGGAAATGAATTCCACAGCGCAGGAGCTGTGGAGCTGGACGCAGATGATAGGACGGACCCACCCCCAGAGCCAGATTTCCCCAGGACTACTCAAATGGTGCAAACGCAGCCCCCGAGCACAACGATCCCCCCCTTGTTTTTGTCAAGAGCACCCATGTTGCTTAATGAGCAGCGAGCAGGCGGGCTCCTTCTTTGGACTCCCGTATGGGGAAAGAGATGGTGCCGCTTTCTGTCCGTGGCTCCATCTCCCCTTCGCTGCCTTTCCCTTGACTGTCCCCTGTGGGGCAGGAATCACCCCTCTGCTCCCCCTTCCCCTTATGCCTGGGGAAGCCGCTGCTGTTGCAAGGCAAGGGGGGAGGCTGATGCCTCAGCATCCCCACCGGCAGAGCTGTCCACTCCCCGTGGCCAGCCCTGTGGCAGGCTGCCCCACCAGGCCACGAGGGCTCCACGGCCCCCACCTCCAGTGCCTGGGCTGAATGGAGGGCTGAGCAGGTGGCGGGAAGTTGGTTCTTGGGAGGGTAGGATTGCTCTGTGCCTTTAAAAATATCTCCAAAGCTGCCCGGGCCACACGGGCACTCGGTTTCCAGAAACCCCGTGCAGGCTCTTCTCCTGCATGGGGACAGCGGCTGACCCCTGGTGGACTTGTGCCCCAGTCCCTTGGCCCTGCTGGGCCAGGAACAAATGCAAAACCAGCCCCTCCATGCCCGTGCCTGCCTCCAGCCGTGGTGCTGATGAAAAGCCACTCTGCACATGCCCCAGAACTGGATGCTTGCACCCAAAAGAGGTCCCAGGGTGAGCCCAGACCAAGCTCAGGACTGCTTGCGGACTCTTCTGCCTTTGGATTATCTCGGCAGGACGTCCATTTCCGCGTCACAGGCAGCCGGTCCCTGAGGGACACCTTCACCGAGCGGCTCAGCAGCAATTTAGGAAGGTCGCCCAGGGATGCAGCACCTGCTGCCTCCCCCCGGCCCGCAACACACATGCTTAGCCTGTGGAAAGCCCCCTCCTCAGAGGGAGCCAGCGGAAGTGGTGGTTCGCCCTTGCAGGAGGAGGGAACGAGTCTGCGTCCAACACGGGGGGGGGGGGTCACCCACCACGCCCCCCCCTCAGCCTGCCTCCTTCGCCCAGACTGCCTGGCGTCCAGACACGCTCCTGATCCTCGTCCGTTTCATCTGCGAGACCCTGGCAACGCGGCAGGCCAGCTTCGTGCCGCTGTGCGGCTGCTCCCTCCCTGGGGTGCCGTGCCAGGACGCTATTAATGCCGCAGAGGGTGGGAGTCCGTTGGCTGCGGAATTCTGTCTTCGCGAATTCCTAGACCCAAGGATCCCGGGGAGCAACTTGTGGGTCAGCAATTTGATTTCTTGTTTCTTTTTTCCCTTTTGCGGGGGTGGGCTTTTTAATATGGTGCATGTTTTGGCCTTGTAAACATATCAAAAAGGCATCTAAATTATGCGTTCTGAGTGAAAACACACTTTGGAATACAAGCTTTGGCAACTTTTCTTTTTAAATCACAACTGGATACAGAAGCAGAATGGAATTCACAGGAAAACACGTGACGGAAAATGCACCCGTTTGCCCATCTGCACTGGGGGAGCCTTTGAAGAATCCCAGAAAAGTCCAGTTGGGAGGGACCAGGAAGGCCAGTGCGTCCAGCCCCCCGCTGTGGCAGGGCACCACGTCACACCGCCCCGCCTGGCGACGAAACGCACTTTCAGGTCTTGCCTGTGTTGTCCCTCATGTTGTGTTCAGAGGTGTGGGACCTGATCCTGGACGTGCGCCTGTGAAGACGGGCCGAAATGCAGGCGGGCTCAGTCAGTGAACCCCGCCGGTCCGTGAGCGCCCTTTTACGACGTGCAAAGCAGCAGGGACGCAGCCCCCTCTGCAGCAGAAGGGCCCGGGCCGGTGCTGCGGATGTGTGGGGGGGGGGGGCGGGGGCACGACAGCTGTGGCAGCGAAGGTGGGATCAGCACAAGGCACGGACGGTGGTCGGCAGCACAAGTGGCCCGGTGCGTGGCCCAGTGCGGCACTCCAGGCTGGCACCAAGCGGCACAGGAAGCCGGGGGCGTGGAGGGAGGGGGAGAGAGAGAGGATTCCTACAGGCCCGTGAGGCCGCCTCCAGCCCTCCAGCCTCTTCTGCTGCTGCGCTGAGTGAAAGCACCACCAAGGGGAAGACAAAGGGCTCCCCTCCAGAGCTTGCTTGTGCGCGGGGCCTTGGAAGCGCAGCAGGAGTGCCGATCCAGCTCTTTTTTTCCGGATTTCCCCTCCAAGATAAGCAGTTTGCTTGCAGTACACCTGGGAGGATGCGCTGGATGTGGAAGCCCTCCAGAAGAGGGAGTCGGGAGACCGAGAAAGAGCGGCACTCCGGTCGCCAGAGTAACTCCCCGTGCGACAAGATGACAGCGCGGCCTCTTGGCACACGGATGGCATCTCCTGTGAGTTGTGCTTCTGAGTCCGTCCCAGAATGGAGCCCCCTTCGGACCTGCGCTTTGCAGCAGGAGCAGCAGAACGCAAGCGGGCCAAACCGGCCTTGCGTGTTTGGACCTGCAGCTCCCACAGTTTGCATGAGCTGCAGGCTCTGGCCGACTTCAGGGGCAGCCCCACAGGAAGTGCACACCGTGGTCTAACATAGAGTTCACCCGAGTGTCGATCACTGGAGCTGATCACATTTCCGTCCCTCAGAAGCCTAAAGCTTGGGAATTACCCCAAGGAAGTGGATTGGTAGTAAATTCAAAGCAGATGAGAAAGAAAGAGTGAGTTTTAGACCTGGCCCACATGGAGACCCATTTAAAGGAAACGGATTTCGCTTACGGTGCGGCGGACAGCAGACGTCTCGGAAGCGGCAACGAAGGTGCGGGACACCGGGAGTGCAAACGCGCAAGCAGAGGCAGCTACTCGCCAGCTGCAGGAGACGTCACACTTATGGTGAACACCACCTGCTCCCGTTTCTAACTGGTTTGTACACTACCCCAGTGTCAATCCAAAATAATGTCAACACACCCAGCTTGGCAGAAATGGGGCTTCTCCCGGAGCGATGTGGCCAAGAAAACTGCCTCTCGGCCTCCTCCGCAAAGTCGAAGGGCTGTAAATATTGCTGGCTTCGCTCCCTGTAGTGTGGGAAGTGTGTCATTCACTGCCGTCCACCTTCCCCCTTGTGAGCTTTGCAGCTTGGCAGGTGCCAGTGAGGGTGCCTTTCCTATCACGCCTTTGCTGCAGGAACGATTATGCGTGTGCGCGTGGAATTATTATGTTTCAATAGCACTGAACGGCTACAGCGCTCTCGCTTGTTAGTTTGCTACGTTTCCGTCTCACCCTTTTTGCTTCAAGGAACTCACGGTGGCAGACATAACCCTCTTCCTCTCAGCAACACCCCTGTGAGGTGGATTAGGCTGAGAGTCGGGGACGGGCCCAAGGTCACCCCGGGCGCCTTGTGGCCAAGTGGCGCTTCCGCCGGGCCCAGTCCAGCACTCCCGTCGCTAGGCTGTCCGGGCTCCCTTGCTGAAGTGAAAGGGCATTTTCCTTAGGCTCGCTAGAGAGTTGGGTGTTTAAACCTGGCTCTTGGCACCATGTCCTGGAAGGCTCGGAGGACAGCGGCCAGGAAGACTCCAGCAAGAGCAGGAGGGCTACGGGGAGCGCCGGCCTTCCCCAATATCCGGGGTGTGCAGCCATCTGATGACCAAGCCAGTTCACACACATACAAATACACCGTAGTTCTCCATTTTTCCTTTTCCAGTCCCACCCCCACAACTATCTGCAGAGAGGGCCTCGGGGTCAGAACTCCCATGAACCGTTTTTGTTAACCCAAACTGTGTCAGCGGCACATGGGCTTTACGATGGCACCTTTGCATACAAATCCGCAGAATGGTTTGGGATCGTTTCTCCAAAGAGGAACAGGAGACGCAGCTTTCCTGATCAGCAAAATTCCTGTGCGCGGTGCCAGGGCACAGCCTGGAAGATGCAGAATGAGAATTCCCATGCACAGAGCGGGGGGCTGGACCCTTGGCCTTCTTGCCCCCTTCCAACTGCTATTCTATGATCCTGTGATTCTAGGAAAAGAAGTGCCCCCACCCCCCCCCCCCAGAGCTTTTTCTGCCCACCACCAAATAGCCAGGATCGCTTCCAGGCTCTCCAGAGGAAGCAGGGAAAGTACTGGCCGCTGGGACCAAAAGCCATTATGCAATGGTGCCGCTAGCCAGGGACAACATGATCGCTATTTCTGGCTTTCCCTTGGCTGCTCGGTTTTACTCCCCCTTCGAAAAGCATATAAACAGCAGCTCGAGCAGAGTTTTCTGAACTTCCAAAGGCCGTGAGCATGGCTGAATGTCGCCGGATCCTGCTTTGGGTGCTGACTTGCCTCGGGTTGGTGCTGGCCGAGGAGGACAGAAGCCCTGCGGTCATGGCCAGGATCACGACCAAAGGCCTCGAGTATGGTAGGAGTCCGGGGCATGCCAGACCTGTTCTGCTTCTGGTTCTCACGTCTCCCTCCTGAGCGATCACTCGCACCTGCTGGGTTCTACTTCAGATAGAAGTGCTCTTTGGCTTGGAGTCTCAGTACATTTTCTGAAGTTTTTGCTATCTCTCTGTAAAAAGATAGCTTCTGCAAGCCTTGTGAGGCGGGGAGCTGCCACGTCTGGAGCCCTGCTCCAAGATCCTGGGACCTCCAAGCTGGGAGGCTCCCGGTTGTGTGTGTCTGGAGCCCTGCTCCAAGATCCTGGGACCTCCAAGCTGGGAGGCTCCCGGTTGTGCGTGTCCTTTTAGTACATTTTAAAAGATGCCAGAGAAGCCCTGCTGACTTGTTTATCTTTTGGCAGGATCGGATGGCACCTGCAGACACAGGAGCCCCTTCTGAGGGGAAGAACCTGCCAACACTCAGACAAAAGGGTGTGGGGGCCCAAGGGGGGGCCTTTGACACTTTGTATTTTTCAAGCATCCCCCCATTGCTCTGTGGGGAAATTGTCTGTGTTGTGGAGTGCAGATGTACCTCTCGATGGGTCACCTGCAGTGCTTCAGGGGGCTAGGTGCAGGGCGCTGGAAGCGACGAGGGAAGCAAAGGCGAGCCCGGGCCCGGCACGGGCGGGCAGCCGCCGAGGGCCCGGAGGCCCATCTGCTGCAGGCGCAGGTGCAGCCGCGGGGGGCCGCTCCTCTGTGCCCGCCTCCTCCCCTGGGTCCGGCCGGCCCCGTCGGCAGAGGCAGGTGCAGCAGCTGCCCTCGGGGAGGGCAGAGGGGCCAGTCGGCCGGCCCCCTCCGGGTGTCCGCAGCGGCCAGGCCACTGCTGCACTTCGCAGTCAGCTGGGCAGTTTTCACGGCGCCTTTCTTGTTCCCCCGACGGCCGGGACAAGTGTGGAAAGCCGCGCGTCGAGCTGGGTGGTCAGTCGGGAAGCGCTGGGGCGTGTGCGGGGACGGGGAAGGCCTTGCCCACTCTTGCGCCCGCCACGCAGCCAGTGCCCCGACAGCGCCTCTTGCCCTCTGCTTTGTCCCAGGCCTCCAGAAGGGGGTCGCCCTCCTGCAGCAAGAGCTGAGCCAGACGAGACTGCCCGATGTCACGGGGAAGGTCAAAATCATACGTGGTTTAGAAGTGCAGTACAAGTTCCATAGGTAAGACCCTTCGTGAAGAACGAATCCTGATGAGAAGAATGGCCCGACTGCTCTCGCGCTCTGCTTGCACGGGTGTGCGTGCGTGTGCGCCTGGACAAGTGAAAGCCAAGATACGGCTCTTCCCAGCCGCGGTTGTCCAAGCGGACTTACTGCAAAGGGGCCCGATGTGGGGCTGCCGTTCCAAGGTCGGAGGGATTGCAGTTGACTCCAGACATGGGGACTGAGTGGCCCATTGGCCCGCACTCCCTGCATCAAGTTGGCCCGGTGCTGAAAGGCTCTGGCATTTCCTGGGCGCCTCAGCCTGGGCGCCAGCGAGAGCCCTGGTTGTTTTCCAGTGCACGGCCGTGCCTCCGCTTCCTTCCCTGCCCCACGCACCCTGCCAGGGTTAGGGTCCCGGTCCAGGGAGGATGGCCGGGTGGCTCCTCATGAGGCCCGGCCCGCTGAGTGGCCTCCAACAATAAGCTTTTACGTACACGTACGCATCCATGTACACGCATGGCGTCCAGAGCACCGCAGAGTGCCAAGAAGACCAGTCCTTGTGTGTTTGCAAGGCAGATCGGACCCTTTCGGGACTCCCGTCACTGTGGGGCGCCAAAAGCGGTGGGATCCCCTGGCAGCACCCGGCCGTCGTCGTGGTCGTCCTCCTCACGGTCGTCATCAGCTCTGTTTCTATCCAGCCCCGCAGCTGAGGCCCCGAGTTCAGCTGCCCCCTTTAGCCCGCGGGCCCCATCCTAGGGAGGTGCGCCTCCGAGGCCAAGGCGGCTCTGCCCGATGCAGCAGGCGACCCTCCCCGGTGCCCCGAGCCCCACGCCGACGCCCCGTCTCCCTCCTGCAGGCTGAGCATCCACGACTTCCAGCTGCCCAAGGCGAGGATTACTCCGCTCCAGAGGGTGGGGCTCCTCGTCTCCATCTTCGATGCCTTCGCAGAGCTGAGAGGACTGTGGCGGGTGGACAGCTTCCTGGCGTGAGTGTGCTAAGCCCCCCCCCCCGCCTCCGAGGCTGCCGGCACTGCCAGGCGGGCCAGGGGAGCCGAGTCGGCCGAGCGTTCGTGCGCGGCAGCACCCGGTCTGGCCGGCTGCGCGCGGTCTGAGCCCCGGTAGCCCTGGTAACAGGCAGGGGGCCGAGAGGAGGGCCGCGCATCGCTGCTGGGGAGAAAGCGCTTGCCCAGAGCATCACGCACGCACATCAACACGTGTGCGCTTAACGGGCGGGCCGTCCTGTCCTCCGGGACCTTGCTCCACCGAACAGGCGCAAGAAGTGTGCCGGGGCCCCGAGGCCGGGCTCCACGCCCTCTCTGGCTTCCGTCTGATTTTAAGCTTCGGTGTCTCTAACCCAGAGCTCAGGCTGCTGCAGAGCGAACGCTGCCCCCCAGCACCCCCTGTGCCTGGGTGCACAAGAGGCCTCGAAAGCGCGATGCCCGGGCCTGCCTCAGGCGGAGGCTCTTGGGCAGCAGTTGCCCTCTGGGAAATGCGTGTTCTGTGCCCAGCTATTTCTTGTTTGCAAGTGGACGGAAGCCCCAGAGGACTCCTGGGGGAGCACCAAGATGCCCCGTGGGGGGAGGCCCGGTGTGCATTATTCACTCCCGGGTGGGTCCACCCCACCTCTGAAGACCTCCGACTCTGAACCCTGGCGCTCCAAAGTCTGCTAGGCACGCCAGGCTGGCCCCCATTCTGTCCTGCCCGGGGACCCCCCTTCCTGTGGCGAGGGGCGACTGGTGGGCACGGCGGTGGGGTAGACTCCATGCTGGGACGCGTCGTCCGGCCACTGCAGAGTTCACACTGACGCACGCAGTTTAATTTGGAGCAGGGCAGGAAAGCGGGCGGCTGGCGGGCAGATCCGGACACGTCCCGAGCGGGCTGGCCTGGAAGGAGTGTGGGGGACGGGCTTGCAGCCGCCCGTTCCCTGCCTGCAGGAGGAGGCCTCAGGTCTCCCGATCAACCGCCTGCCAGGCTGCGGGGGGGGGGGCAGCTGTGATGCTGCGCTGGTTGTGCCTTTGCAGCCGAGCTAGCGGCCACCTGTCCGTGGAGATCGAGGGCATTTCCGTCTTCGTCAGACCGCGGCTGGGTGTCGACTCTTCTGGGAAGCTGACCGCTGCCATCTCGTACTGCATCACCCAGGTGTCAGAGATCCGCATGAAGATTTCCAGCCGCCAGAGGTAGTTACCTGGCTTTTGGGGGGGGGCGGGGGCTGAGGATGGCCCGCCCGCCCTCTCCCTCTTTCCGCTGAACCTACCCTGCCCTAAGCGCCTGGGCCATTCACCCACCGGCTCCGGGGCAGCACCAAGGTTGCAGAGTCAGGCCCTTGCAAAGCGTCCCCTCCGCCTTCCCTCCGCCACATCGCGCTCGCCTGCCTGGCCAGTGGTGGCACTGGTGAGGAGGGAGGGAGGGCGGGAGACGCCATGCCCTCCCGCTCGCAGGCGCGCTGGCCGAGGGGAGGGGGAGGCAAGCAGCCACGCACACCGGGGAAGCGGGCCTGCTGAGTGGGAGACCCCCGAGCCCCCGCCCCGCCCGGTGCCCGGGGCCCGGTTTGGCTTTGGATGAAAATCGCACATAGGAAGCATCTTCCTTCCACGTTTTAGCGTTACGAAAGGATGTGGAGAGGAAGGTGGCTCTCGGAAGAGGGAGATGCTCTGGGAATCCTCCCCACAGACGATGGGTTCCCGAGTTACTCGCTGCCACCTGTGCTGCAGGGCTGATGCGCGGGCAGGGTGGGGTTCCTCCACTGCTGGCTTGCTGCCAGCTCAGGTGTTGCTGCTTCATCATGCTGGGCTTCCCCTTCCCCTTCCCCCAGCTGACTGGTGGCTGAGATACCCACCGGGATCGGCCTGGGAACCAGCCAAAGCCCATGGCCCCTGCCTCCTCCCCTGGCGCACCCCAGCACGCCCCTTCTGCTCCCCTCCGAAGTGCCTGTGCAACCTCGGGAAGGCGGTTGGGTGCGGGGGGGGGGGTCGCCTCCAGAACCCCAGCTCTCAGGATCTTGGCGATGCTTCTCCAGAGAATCCCGTGACCCCTCGGACAGCATGGGGAGGCCACTGGATGTGCCGACGGTGAACCAGAATCCCTTCCACCAGGCAGCCTGTATGCAAGAGGTCAAGGGCTCCAGACCTTATATCAGAAAAGGCCACATTCCAAAACCCATGAGAGAACCTTCCAGTTCCTACTTGACCGCTGAGCAGAAACTAATTCTCTACTGGAAGAATCTCAAAGGCAGAGACCTCGAAATAGCCCAGTTAGAACTAATCAAGAAATCTGATTTTATTCGATGAGGCTTAAATCATGGCAGCAGTTTCCTTTGGCACCAGCGGTACTGATCTGCTCAGATATGCCAAGCGAACGCATGCTGGTGTTGATTTACTGCACTGTAGACACACCGGTCTGGACGCAAGTCCCATTGCTCAGTGGGGTTTACTTCTGAGCTGACAGGTGCAGAACCGAACCGTGAAACTCTGGACTGCACCTTTTGCATTTCACTTCCTGCTAACTCCAAGTTTTACCAGGGTTTCTCCCTCAATCCCGTGCCCAATACAGAGCGAGATGCGTTGCCATTCTCGCTGCAGCAGCGACCAGACGGCTGCTCCCCCCGGAAGAGGTGGCAAGGAGCCGCTGTGCCGCACACACGAATCACGCACGGCCTTTGTCCCCGCAGCTCGCTGAGCGTCTTCCTCAAAGACGTGACGGAGGACGTCAAAAGGGCACTAGAAGAGCAGGTAAGGACTCGAAGGCCCCTTTGTTTCCCTCCGAGTGGGAGGAAGCTGGCCAGCAAAGGGTGCGAGGAGTGCGGCGTGTGACGCCCGGCTGGTGTGGGAAGAGCCGGCTGGGAGGCGGTGTTTCCACAACGCTGGAGCTTGGGGCAAAACGCTGATGGATCAGTTGGGAGTCGATTCAGGAGAGACAAAGGCTGGTTCTTCTGGACACGACGCATTCCGGACTCATTTTAGTCTGGCCCCCAGACCGAGACCGTCTTGGTTGCCTGCTAGCCAACGTATGCTAGGAAGTGGACCGGAGGGACGTTTTCCCGCTGGCTCTGCCAGATCGCGCAGGGTGTTCTGAGATGATTGGCCATGTTCTCCTGGGGCTCCTGGCCTGGGACTGGAGGGGGTGGCCTCTTTCGGCTGCCTCTGATTCTGCATGGCAGTCCGGAGGGGCACTGGGGACTCCCCTTCTCCTTGGCCTTTGAATCGCCAGCTGATGACCCATTCGAAACACAGGAAGCAAGTCAGAAGGGGCCTCACAGGGCCATCTAGTCTGACCCCAGTTCCAGCCGGCTACGCTCTTGTAATCTCCAACACAGTGGGTGACAAGCCACAGTGGGCTGCCACGTCCTGTGAACCTGGATCCCCTTCCTGAAGGGTGGCTTGTTTGAGGGCAACATGGCCGCTTTGATCACCCATGGCTTGTCTTGGAGGTTGGTGAACCCACAAAGGAATGCCAGGTCATGCCGCACTCACTGTGGGCTGCAGGAAGCCAAGGGTGAGCACCACAGACCCCTGGCTGCTCTTCGTGGGCTAGCCGGGGCCGGGGCACGACCAGGTTCTGCCACGGATCAGCTCCCGAGAAGGGTCACCAGCAAGCAACACCATGGGTTGCCTAGGGCTGGGTTCAGACTACAAAAAGCCCATCCCCAGGAGCTGAGCAGGGGCTGCTGCTGAATTACGGATGGGTGCTGAAGTTGTGTGGTCTGAACTGAGCCGAGGTCACCAGCCACGGCCCATGCACCGGGATCCTACAGTGCGGAAGCTGCCCTGTTCGTGGCAGGGTTGTGAGCAGCGGGCTGTTTGCCACGGCTGGTTATCTTGGCTCGGTTCAGCAATCCACGTTTCTGCCCGAGCGCATGGCTCAACGGCACCCCACCCTCGACCCGCACCGTGCCCCGAGTGTGGATTCCCGCGCTGTGCAAACCCGGCCTGCCTGCTGCTGCAGCGAGCAGCCGCGCCAGACCGGGAGCGGACGGAAGCGTGTGGCCACGGTCAGGCTGGCCGGACCCGGCGCCCTCGGGGCCCTGGACTCAGTCTCCCGAGGGGCCGGGTCTTTCGCCAATGCCCAGCTGCAGGCGCCGGGGCTGGAGCACACTAGACCAGTCCCCTGCAGCCTGGCCTGAGGGCGGCCCTGCGACCCCTCTGGGCACAGGGGGGCTGGCCCGGGGGTTTCGGGGGGCACTGGGTCACAGGGAGCTGGGAGCCCTGCACTGCCTCTCCAGGGCTGCACCTGCCCCGGGCCATGAATTCGGGGGCTGCTTCTTCACCGTAAGGCTTCAGCTTCAACCGGGGCTCCGTGAGGTCTGAGGAGGAGCATTTGGGGCCCCGATCCGTGCCAGAAAGTCACGAGCAATTCCCGGAGGCCTGGGGGTGGTACTTTGGCACGCCCCTGTTCAGAGGCAGGGCACCTCTCGAGCGGAGCTGCCGGGAGCGTGGTCACCTGCACCCGTTGCCTGTGGCGGCCCCAAAGGCCTCGGAGAGGAAGCAGAGTGCTGGCCCAAACGGCCCTGTGCCCCACAGGGGCCCGGTGCTGCCCTGGCCGGGGAGCCTTCCCTGCTGGAATCTGGGGTGGGTGAGTGAGATCTGCCCAGCCCATGGAGGGAGGACTGCAGGGAAACGCACCAGGAATCGCTCGGCCGAATCCTTGCCTGGACTGTCCAGGAAATCCGATCAAGCAACAGCCTCCCTGCCAAAGGAGCCGCTCGCTCGCTCCTGCCCCGCCCTCCTTTCCTCCTGGCCCGCCGCCAGGTCATTCCTTTTTCAATGATGCTTCCATAAATTAGAAACATAGAAACAGAGCGAGTCAGAAGGGGCCTCCGGGGCCATCTAGTCTGACCCCTGGCAAAATTAGGTTAGCTGATGTGCTAACACATCTTTACAGCTCTGATGCTTCCCCTTTAAGGAACTTGGGGGTGACTTTTCTGACCCATCCGGACTCTCCGGAGGCTTTTTATTTCTGAGGGACGACAGCGGCATCCGCTCCCCCGATCCTCCTTCCTCTTTGCTGCACCACCGTCGGCATTTTTTCTGCGCGGCTGGGAGGGAAGGAGGCCCGGCACCCCTGGAGCACAGAAGCGTGTGGCCCTCGGCGGCCGCCCTCCCTCTGGCCGCCCCCTCCGCGAGGACCCTCTCTGCCAAACTGGCATTTGCAGCGGCACACGAGGGCGGCATGAACGAATGCTTCACAATACCCATAAGGGGTCAAGCTGAAGCTGCAGCCCTCGAAGCCGAACCCAGGTCAAGCGAGGAGCGAGACGCTGCGCCAGGGTGCAGAACTGGGGGCAGAGACGGCCCTCGGGCTTCCTCACGTGGCCTTGCCCCCTTTCCCCGGCTCGGCCCTCTTTCCTGCAGCCACTGCCTATTCCGCAATTCCCCGACTGTTGTGCAGCGTTTCCCCCGGTCCGAAAGGCGGAAGTGCCTCTGCGAAGGCTCAGTTTCTGGCCAGGGAGCTCCAGCTGCTGGGCGGGATAGAAAGTAGCTTAACTGATTAAAGAAATGCATTCAGCCAAAATATGTGGCTCCACTTTGCTTTTCCGGCCTGCCTGGCCCCTTCTGCCTCCTGCCCCTCCCACTGTTGGTCCGTGCTCCAAAATGGAGCTCAGCCCGCTGGCGAGGCGCTTCCACAGCCCCGGCCAAAGCCCGGGAGGCCGGGGGGGCTCTTGGGTGGCCCCTCCAGTCGCACACCAGCAGGGCCCTTGGCTGCAGCCCGCACTGGCCACCCCAGATCCTGTGGCCACCCGTGCAGATTCAAGAATGCAAGAAAGGCTGAAATGGACACACGCGTCCTCTGGTGGTGGCTGGGCGTCTGCGCAGTGGCGCAGCTCAGCATCAGGTACTCCGCGCACGAGCTCCGGCACCCACGAGTCAAAGGGGCTCGGCAGGTTTCTCCCAAGCCAGGGCAGAAATCCACAGCCTCCGATTTCCTGCTCTTTTCTCAGCCCCATGTTAGTGGGGCGTGTCTCTGAGCGTGGCCGGACCACCTGCCCCGTGCCGAGGGCAACGGGGGCTCCTGGCTTCCGCTCCCCTGTGCGAGGTGCAGGAAGAGGGGGCGGTGCAGGGCCACGGGGGAAGCCGCAAGGCGGCCACAGGGGTGAATCGGGCTCGCCGGTTTGGCCGCGTTTGGTGATGCAAGAAGGGCTGGAGAAAAGGGAAGGTGCTCCGTTTACCAGCTGTTTGATTTGCACTTCCACTCGGACTGATTATGTGGAGGGCCACCCTGCCACGAAAAGGGGGGTGTGGGAATGTGGGCGTGCGGAGCTGAGCCACGGGGCACCCGGGAAGTAAGTCGCTTGCCTGCTTCCTTCTCTTCTCAGGTCTGTGAAGTGGTGACCAAAGTGGTGGAACTCAAAGTGCATCCGCATCTACAGTCTCTGCCAGGTAAGGAGCAGTCAAGGGGCGGACAGGTAACGGTTGCAACAGGCCCCTGGGCAGGTGAAGAGCAACGTCCCCTTCCGAGAACACGCCTTAGTCCTTGCCCACTTCAGACCTGGGCTCAGAAACAGGTGGGACGGGAGACTCCGAGCGGTCGCCGACCTGGGGCTGCGGGGAGGAATCCCAAGGTCCTTCAGGCCCTTTCCAGCCTCCGGCTGGGCCAGGCGCTCGTTCTGATGGTGCCTGCAGCCCCATCCGCCTGCTCGGAGTTCTGCCCCGTAAAATGCAGGACAGGGAGGGGGAGACCAGGAGAAGGATTCCCATGCTGTACGTTGTGGTCATGGCTGACAGCTCACAAAGGGCTTCCCAGAAAAGGAGGTTCTGGGGAGGGCCCACACTCGGGGGCACGGGGGGGGGGGGGCGAGGATCCGGAAGCTCCCCTAGTGCCAAATGTAGCAGCTGCACTGCCACCCTCTGGCTGCACCAGCCCAGTGCTCAAAGCTCTTCTGCACTCAGGCCGACACGCTGGTCCGCAATTGCAGCTTTTTAAATTGCTTTTAATGCTTTTGTTTAATTTTCTGAAATCATTGCAAACGACCTTGGTTGTCTTCAGAAAGGCGGTACAGGAATTCTGTCCTCACTATCCATTCCCAGTGCACAACCTCGCTTTCCCCCCGAGTGGCAGCCTTGAATTTGTTCTGCCTGCTTTCCTTCTTCCCCCTTCTCTGCCTGCCTCCTTCCTATCCATTCCGGCCTGGAAGCTGCCACCGAAGCGGCGGGGGTGTGACTCACCTGGAGTGGGGCTGTGGCCCACCCGTGGGACCTGCGGCACTGGCGGAATGCTTGGATCCCTGCGGGTGGCGCACCTGGAGGCGTGGAAGTTACAGGCAGGGGTGCCCTGGAAGGCACGCGCTGAGAGCTACACACCAGGCCCCAGGCATCGTGCTCCTGTGGGGAAGCAGACTGGAGGCCTGGGGGGGGCGGGGGCAGTATGTTGCCGGGGGGGGGGGGTCCTGCCAGACACACCCTCCGCTTCTACCCTGCAGCACCCCTTTCTTACCCCGCCTGTTCCCCCAGGGCAGGTGGGCTTTCAAAATCAACTCTCCATGCCCTAATTGGCGACACACAGGTATGTGAGGGGGTGTCACACGGAGGTGGGGAGAGACCTGTTCTCCCCTGCAGAGGAAGGCAGGACACGCTCCAAGGGAGCCAAGCTCAGGGAGCCCAGGTTCCGTTTAGATGCCAGGAAGCACTTCCTGACAGTCAGGACCCCGAGGATGTGGAATGGGCTTCCACGGGAGGTCGTTGAGGCCCCATCGGTGCGGGTGTTCAAGGATAGACTGGAAGTCCACATGGTGGGCATGTCATGAGCGGAGCCGGCTGGAGCAGGGGGTCAGACTAGATGGCCCGGGAGCCCTCTTCCGACTCGCCCTGCTTCTCTGTTTCTCATCGCCACATGGGTGGGGCAGGGTGGGGCTGCAAAGGTGGTCTGCACATCCGTAACTGAGGGGCGCTTGGGCTTGGGCTTGGACTGCCCCTGGACTGTGCTCTGTCCGCCACGTCTTTGCAGCCCCCAGAATGCGAGTCGTGGGGACGAGGGCCCCTGGGCTGCGCCTTTTCCCAGCCTGGGGCGATCATGCTGGAAAGGCGAGTTCAGGACTGAGAGGGCTCTTCCCTGCACGTGGCGAACGCAGACGGGGCGCAAGGGGAAGCACGGCTGGACTGTCCGGCCAGGCCTCGCCACGCCGTGGCCTGAGCGCCATGCCTTGGGCCAGAGCGATCCTTCTGACGCGGCTGAACCTGCCGCCACGCCGAGGCATCTTCTTTTGCTTTCCTTGTGGAGGAAAAACACGAGCTTCACCCGAGGCTTTTCTGATGGTTGGCGTTTCTCAGCTTCTCTCTCTCAGCTGAGCAAATGGTGGCGTGGGCGGCTGCGGCAGGAAGGGGGTTATCTTTGCATGAGGATTGTTCCAGTTTGTTGCAATTTATAATTAAGACCAGGTTTCCCTCACTCCAAACAACCAGAGAACAAAACAAGCTGGACAACTTGGAAGCGCCCGGAGGGCAACGGCGTCCGCCTGAGGGGCCAGCCTCACCAAGGGTGGGGCCATGAGTGCAGGTCCGGATCGCTGGTCCCACGGTTCCTCTCCAGCTCATGTCGGCTCATCCCCTCCTGCTGTCCAGACGCACCATCGCAAGCGCTCCCCCCCTTGCAATTACTTTAAATGGGTGCAGAACGGCCGGGGGCTTCCCGGCTTCTCTCCTGCCCCCTCTCAGCCCAATACGCTGCTTTCACTGGCCATGCACCCCGCGGGAGGGCTTGCCCATCCGGGGAAACCACGCCACGGAGAAGCCACGGTGGGTGGGCTGTTGACGGAGCAGCCCACGGCGCAGCCAGCAGCCATCCGTGCTGAGCTTGCACAGCAGGGCAGCCACCGTGGGGGTGTCCGCTCGGCGGGCCGCCCACTGCCTCCCTGATTTCAGGCGGGGCGACCAGGAGATCGGCCTTCCGCTTCCCGCAGCACCTCTGGCTTCTCTTTCCCACTGGGAAACACTTGAGTCACTTGTGCTGAAGCAACTGACGTCTGTCTTCCTCCAAATACTTTCCTTGTCATCCTTATTAAGCATGACTCTCCTTCCGGCCTGCTGGAGCCAACGCTCTCTGGGGAGCTGGCAGTGGCCCTCAGCCCTGCCGCGTGGTGGTCCCCCTGCCCAGACTCGGCTTTGATTGTGTTTCTTGTCCGCTTGTGTGGTTTCAGTCAGAGCAATGATCGACAAGGCGATTGGCGTGGACTTCTCCCTGGTCGGCCCTCCTCTCACAACACTGAATTCCCTAGACATCGGCCTGAAGGTAGGGCAAACTACCTTCTCTGGGACGGGGGTCCCTGCAGTGCTCGGCTCATGAGGAGCACTGCTTTCTCTGACCATTCGGCCCTCACGTTGGAGGGGGCTTAAAACAGGCGGACACAAGCTGCTAGACCCCAAAAAGGTGCTCATGCCTCTTCCTGCACGGAGATGTGTTTGCAGACCTTGCTTCGGGAGCTGATGCACTCCCTGCCTCTCCGCCTAGCCTACCTTGCAGGGTTCTTGTTGTCAGGACGGAATGGAGAGCTGCCTTGGAGGACAAAAGATGGGATATCGGTGCAGCAGCGGCTCGCGAGAAGCAGGAAGTGGGACGCACACGGTTCCCCGCTCGGTGTTTCCCAAACGCTTGAAGATCAGGCCAAGTCACTCACCGTCTCTCCCCTTTGACTCGCTTCCTGCAGGGCGAATTCTTTTCCAGCTCTGGGCCCGCTGCTGCTCCGGCCTCACCGCCTCGCCTGTGCTTCCCGGCCGAACAGAGCCGCATGGTCTACCTGGCAACCTCCAGTCACTTCCTCAGCCAGGCCGCCGAGGTCTTCTACCAGGCAGGGCGGCCGAAGTTCGAGATCACCAGCGACATGGTAAAGGGCAAGCGGGGAGGCGGTGCCGGCCTGGAAATGGGGGCCCCGGGGCTGCCTTGGCGGCGGCACAGGGACCAAGGGGTGCCACTGCCGTGTCCTGTCCCATCCACGTTTCCGGGAAGACCTAAGCACGCAGTCAACACAGCAAAAGAAGCTTTGGCCAGTGTCGTCGTGGCTTTGCGCCACATGCTCAGAGGCACTGTTTCCCCCTCCTCCCGCACTTTGAAGAGTTTGTGCTGCCGCGCACGATTCTTCCCACAATTGCTCTCAGCTTCATGTGCAATTCGTCCTGGCATGAGGGAAGGACATGCCACTTCTGAGCCTGATTAAAAGACCCACGTTCTGCTTAAAATACCCCCATGTTCCATGGGACAGCCCTGGCATCGAAGCCAACTCCACGGCTGCGGTGGAGTCCCGCGAGTCTCCGTGGCTAGCCTTATTCCAGGAGGGGGCCGACGGATGCCACGGCGTGGGCACCATTACCTGCGCCCAGGCCAATCCGCCATCCTTTGAGGAGCTGCAAGACTCCCGGCTGCTCAGGCCGCGAAGAACGGTCTGCTCTTTGGTTGCAGATCCCCGGAGATGCCCCAGTCCAGCTGAACACGGCCTCCTTTCAGAGCTTCATCCCACAGGTGCGTGCCACCTGGGCAGAGCTGCCCGCCCCCTCAAAAGGGTGGGGGTGCTCATGGGTCACCCCTGTGCAGACTCGGGCTCAGAGCAGCACCTGGGGCAGGGGCCGGGGCCTGCTCCCCCTCCTGGCCGCCCTGGAGACCTGCCTTGCTTCCCCTCGGCCCAGCTGCAGAAGCTGTACCCCGACGCGCCCATGAAACTGTGGATCACGCCTTCCTCGGCCCCGCTCGTGACCGTCGACGGGGGCTCCCTGCGGGCGGCGGCGGCCCTCGACATCCAGGCGCTGGCCATCCTCCCCGACGCGCAGGAGGCGCCCTTGTTCCTGCTCCAGGCAGTACGTCGGGCCGAGCTTCGGGGCGCCGCCGGGCGGCTGGCGGCGCGCGTGGCCGGCGGCGGGTGGGGATCGGGCCCGGCGGCGCTCGGGACTCAGCGCGCCTCTCCTCCTCGCTTCGCAGTCCAGCAGCGTCGCCGTCCGGCTGGCGGTGGAGTCCGGCAGGCTCGTCCCGCGCGTGGAGCTGGGCAGGTGCGAGGCGGCGGCGGCGCGGCGCGGGGCGCGGGGCGCGGCGTGGCGGGCGCGTCTGCTGGCGGGCGCGCACCCAGCCGCTCTCTCTCTTTCCCCGCAGGATCGAGCTCTCCTTGGCGCGCTCGCAGGTGGGGGCGTTCAACGTAAGCGGCCTTCGGCGCCGCGCCGCGTGGCGATCCCAGCCCGGCGGGCGCGGGCCGGGCCATCTGCCCCTCGCGCATCTCGGGGCGCCCGGCGGCCGTCCCGTGGCCCTGCCGAGCGCGGGGAGGCCGGGGGCTCGGAGGGAGGGCCTCTTCCCGCAGGCTGGGAGGGCCGCCAGGGCTTTGAAGGGGGCCTGGGCAAACTCCCGCAGGAGGAAGCGGCGCGGCGAGTCCCGTGCCACGTCTGAGCGCGCCGGTCACTGGGGAGCATGGGTGTTCCGCTTGCGTGCTTCCCACCGGGGGCAGCCCTGCGTGAGCGGAAGGCCGGCCGAGGAGAGTTCCCCAGAGCCCCCATCCAGCCTTCCGGGTGCGTTTAATAGCCGGGACCGGGAGCGTGGAGGGCCACGTCACAGGGGTGGCTTCTGCCCCGAGGTCACTGGCCCTGGGTCACCGGCCTGCGCTTGGCCGGACTTCAGCTGGGTCCACCAGTGGCTCTCAGCTGCTGCCAGCTTCTCGACGCAGCAGAGAAGGAGGCTGGGAGGGAAACTTCCAGGCCCTGAAATGGGATGAAATGCCTTTTCACAGAATATTTACTAGCGACAGGTGCCTTCTGGCACCTGGCACCCTCCAGAGACCTGGACTGCTCTTCCCATCATCCCTGGCCAGCTTGTCCGATGTGGTCCTTGTAGTACAAACCCGGCTGCACAGCTCCGGCTGGAAGGACACCGGGCTGGAAGGGGCCACGGAGCTCTTGCCTGTTTCGCGACTCTTTGATGCTGCGGGGCAAGAGCAGGATGGGGCCACGGCATGCGTGTCCTTCTTGCGGGTTTCTCACGGACCCGGCAGTCAGGTCCACACACGCGCGGTGATCCGCCGGGGTGGCATGACGTGCCCTCTGAACCCAGCAGCCCGGAACAGGCAGCACTTTGGCTGGGTTCCGACAAGCCTCTCCAGGCCCTTTCGCCACTGCGGCTGGATGCACCGTGTGAGCCTGGCCGGGGCTTGGCCGGTGCAGGGCCGGGGGGCTCCCCTAGAGAGGCGTTGGGTGTGGCAGACACGGCCGTGCACGTCCTGCGATGCGGCAATGACATCCGTCGTCTCTCCCGACCGGGCAGGTGCCTCTGATGACGGCTGTCCTGAACATGTACGCTCCGGATATCCTGGCTCCCCGAATTAACGGTGAGGACCAGGCTCCTGCCTGGGGCTCCTCATGGGAGGGGCAACTCCCCAGAGGAGACCCTCCTGCTAGGGAGAGTCCAAGGCAGACCAGATGTGGGATGGACAGACTCCATTTGGGCAGCCACGGCCTGGAATATGGAATTGCTGAGCCGGGCCATTACGGACAGGCCTTCAGGAGATCCCCCCGTCCCTGCACCACCAAGGCCCTTGACAGCACAGCCGGTCAGCACTCCAGTCTGGGGAGAAGGAGATCAGAGACTGCACTGGGAGCTCCTTCTGACCCGACCGGAGACCGAGGGAGGGCCACAGTCCTGGGCCCAGGCCCCTGAGGACCTCCCCCATGGAAGCAGGCCCTGGTTGGGGTCCTCCTCCAGCCCCAGTCCTAGCCCCTCGCTGCCCCTGTGACCATGTGGCATTTCTGGAGGGCAGGAGGGCCTCCTGACTGCGGGGCACGTGCCACAGCCCTTCGCCCTCCCGGCGCGTCCCGTGTTCCCTTCCCCTTGCCACACTAAGCGGGCCCGACGACGCTGCGAGGCCGGCCAGTCATGCAGCCAGCCGGAAACGGGGCAGGAGGGGTGAGGAAAGCCGTGGCTGCATTTGAACCCCGCGCATCTTGCCTGAAATGCAGCACGTGGGCTCGCCAAGCCTCGCTTGGGGGCTGGCGGGGCGGGGGGAAAGAGTGAAGGGCCCGCCGGTCGCATCCCAGTGGAGAGGAGGAGAGGGTGGGTGGGGTGGGGGGCACATGGGAACGCCTCCTAGCCCAGCAGAGCATGAAGGGCCCTTGCCGCCCGTCCGGATTATGGGGCAAGCGGGTGCCCGTGGGCTTCTGTGGGTGGAGGGGGGCGATGCCCCAGGCCTGCCGGGCTGCCTGGCAGGGAAGCACCAAGGTGGGCCCAGGGCTGGGGCAGGGATGCGCCCCATTCCCAGCCGTACCCGTGGGGCCCGGGCCGCACTGGCCTGCTTCCACCAGCAGAGAGTGGCTCCTGCGGGGAGGGGGATGCATTCCGCACCTGGGCAGGTAGGAGCCGGGGGCGACAGGGCAGGGAGTCCCTCTGGTTGTGCCAGGCGTTGCCAGCTGTGTCATCATGCGCGCGCACATTTGGGGGGGTGCACCTGGGCACGGGGGGCTGCCGCCAGCCTTGCTGAGCTGCTTGGGCTGCCTCAGGAATACTTGCCAGGGTTCAAGTAGAGCCCCTTTGCAGCCGCCAAGAGGAGCGAGCATTGATGCTCGGACCTGGCGGGAGCACGACGACACCCCACCCCGATCTGAGGGTGGCTCAGCACCCACGTCTTCCCGCTTTTTCCTGCACGCTCCCACCGTCTCTGGCAGGCCAGCACACCTGGAGGGCACGGCGTTGGGGAAGGCTGGCCTGCCAAAGCGATGGCGAAATGTGGCAAAGGGCCCGAAGGGACAGCGCAGCCCCGCTGCCCAGCCGTCCCCGTGGCCGGCCGTGTGGAGCTGCCAGCCAGCCGCGTCTCCGGGGACCCCCCTTCCCTCACGTGGGTTCTGCTTCGGTTCTCGGCCAGCTTGGCTCTTTCCCACCATTCTGGGGGGGGGGGGCAGCATTTTCAAGAGAAATGCGTAATGCCTCCCACCCTTCCGCCCTGGTGCCTCAGGGCGTCCCTCTCACGCCTGTGGCCTCTCTCTTCCAGAAGGACTCTCGGAGGGGTTCCCGCTTCCCATTCCCGGCAATCTGCAGCTGCACAACCTCGTCATCCAGCCCCTGCAGGTGGGCGCCTTTGCCGGCAGGAGCACACTTCTCGGGGGGAGCGCTCAGCACTCTGGCCCAGTCCTGTGTGGGCAGCCCCTTCCTGCCCCCGAAGGCAGCGGGCCCCTCCGCAAGGGGCACGGTGCCGTGCGCAGCTTTTTCTGCCCACACCTGGCTGCCACCTGCATGCTCCTGCTGCCTGGGGCAACCCCCCCCCCCCATGGCAGAGCCAGCTCCCGAGCGTGGGTGCCGCTGCCCCTTTTGCACCTGGGTGCCTCCTTTTCAGCCTAAGAAGGGGCTGCCGTCTCGACCCCGAGTACGGGTGTCGCCTCCCCCGCCAGTAGCCACTGCAACCAGCAGAAAGCCTGCGCTTCAGTGCTGACGCCGAACAGTTAAACATCCAGTCACAGCTGAAAGCCTCAGCGGAAATCTGGGAATTTGCGAGTGGCGCCTTCAAAGCTGAGGGCAGGGCAGAGCCGTGTGAGAATTCCCGGATGCTGGGCTCTCCCACCACCCCTCTGCTCCCCACGCTCCTCGCATAAACAAACAGGGAGGTATTTGGCCTGCCCCGAGAGGCTTGGAGGCGGTGAGGGCTGGCAGCGGCCACGCACGGCCCTCTGATGTGCGGCCAACAGCCACGCAGGGAGCCTTGCCTTGTGCTTGGCCCGAGACGCCGGAGGCACCAGCCCCTCTCAGCACCTCGCCTGCCCAGTATTGCACTTCACCGGGAAAATCCCGGGCAGGAAAACCCAGCCGACACGGGAGCACGGCGGGGAATGGCGAGGGGGCTGCAGAGGCGAGCTTGCTCCCTCCGCCGTGCTCGCATCGCAGTGCCCTCTCACGCCGGGCCGGCTGGCTTTTCCCTGGAAGGCCCAATGTGGTTGCGGTCCAGCTTTCCAGGTTAAAAGGGAGCCTTCCGGGGGGGGGGGGGGCAGGGCGGGGGGGGGAGCTTTTCTGCCATCCGGCCGAGGAGTCGAGCATTGTGCGTCGGATCTTTCCGCAGGACTGCCTGGTCTTTGGCGCCGACATCCGCTACCGTCTGTGAGGAGGCAAAGCAGGAGTGAAGCACATTGGAAGGCAAACCGTAGCGTGTTCGCTGCTGCTGCTGCTGCTGCTGCTGCTGCTTTTATGTTCTGAATTAGGGGGGCAGGAGGAAGGATCCCGCGGGGCAGTCCCCTCCCTTCGCGCTGGCATGCTGTCTTGGCCTCAAGAAAACACGTAGTGCGGAACAAGCGAGGCCAAATGCCATTTTGGCGTTCCAGGAAAGGGCAAAGCGAGCCGATGTTCATCTTAGGGTGGGTAAGACAGATGGGTAAGAAACCACAGATATGTTCGCGGTGTGTGGGGGGGGGGGCTGAGCACCCAGAATCTGGGACTGGGCACCAGGGGTCTGTGCAGCCCATTCCACGGATGGCTCATGGGCTGTCGCACCTTCTGTTCCGTCGTCGGCTTTCATACACACTTGTGCAAATTCAGAATTGTGCAAATCCGCACTCCTGAAAATATATCCCCCCCACACACACACAAATATAGAACCCCTGAAACAGGGCAGGTTTTCACACTTCAGCCTCTGGGAAAACATGCATTTTGGTCTATTTTATGTATGTTTCTATGACTAAATTTGTGTAATGTTACATAAAATGCTTTTAAACGGTCTGCCGAATCCAAATGACTTGGGAAAACCGGTCTGCTGAGGAATCCACAGGGCAGATTCCTCGAAATGAAAACCCACCTGAGTCTTCGGGGGGCCGGCCAACAACCCTGCGGTGTGTGAGTGCCAAGGACGCCGGGGTGCCTGGACTGAGGGAGGTGGGTCTCCCTCAACCCGGCCGTGGCCAGTGCTGGCCACCTTCCAGGGGCCTGGCTGCCCTCATCAGGATGCAGGACCCGGGCCAGGGGGCAGAGCTGGCCCTCTGGGCTCCCCACCCAGCCACAGGCCCTCTCCTTCACCCCCCACCCCGTTCCCCTCTGCAGGCTTCCTGCTTTGGCACGTCCTCCCCCTTCTGGACCTTCGAAGACCATTCCTGGCAGCAAGAGCTTCCAGCCCAAACCTGGCGTTTGGGGATATTCTGAGTGTGGGCGTGAGCCCATCCTGTTGCTTTTGGACCCCCCCCCCCTTTGCCACAGCTATCTGTGGAGTGTGGCCAAGCGCTCCCCAAATTCCCCCCCCCCCACCACCACCTTGATGCGTTTGAGGCCACGGTTTTGGGAGCTCGGGCCAGCGGGGGCTGGTCCTCCGGGCACAGGGGCTTGGGCCCCACTGGGGGAGGGAAGGCCTCTCCTGCCAAGCCCCCGGGGACGGGGAGGCTGCCTGGACAGCCAGGAAGGGCAGGCACGGGGCTCCGGGCCATGAACGGAGGAACACCTGGGCCCCAGCAGGGTGGTACGCTCTGCGTGTCGCTTTCCCTGGGCCCCTCCGGTCTGCAGGGTCTCCGGCCAGGCGTGCCTCTCTGGCACTCGTCAAGGCTTCCAGCGCACAGGCCGGAGCGCGCTGCAGCCCGCGGGCGCTTCCCCGGGGAGGAATGGCGCCGCCTTCCGGGCGCCACAGGGCTCTTCGACGCCGGATACCGCAGCTTCGCCGGGGCAAATTCCGGGCAGGCGCTAGGAGTCCGCCTTCACCGGTCTCCCGCTCCCAGGCTGGGAAGGCCGCCGCAAATGCGCCCGGTTCCGAGGCCAGCCCCGAGCTTGCCGCGGGGCGCGAAGCCCCTGCGGAGGCCGTGGCGGAACGTTTGGCGCGCGGAACGGAGGAGTCGCGGGCGCGGCTTCCGGGATCGCGGGCGGGCGGATTTCGGCGCTGCCCCTGAAGCCGCGGAGGCGCCAGCGCGAGCGGCGGCAGGTCGGCCGAGGGCCCCGGGGGGGGGGGGGGGGGGGGCCCCTGGGGGGGGGGTCGGTCGAGCGGTGCCCCGGCTGCCTGGCTGGGCAGCTGGCGGGAGGCTCGCCCTTCCTCCGCCGGGCCCGGCTCCGGGTCGCTGTGCAAGGCCGGGCCGGGGGCCGGGGGCCGGGGCGCGCTTGCTCGGGGGCGAGCCCGTGCATCCCGGGGGCCCCTCCCGGCTCGGGCCGGCTGCCGGCGCGCCCTCCGGGGCAAGGGCGCTCGCGGGGCGCGGGAGCGGGGGGGCCGGGCGCACCGGGCTCCCCACCGCCGCGGGTGGCGCTGGCGGGCACTGGGAGGCTGTGCCGGGCCGCCCTTGGCATGGCCGGGAGCGCGGGGGTGCGAGGACCGGCCCCCTTTCGCTCTGCTCTGTGTCGCCCTGGGGCAGAACGGGGGGCATCTGAGCAAGCTGCGAGCTGCAGGCCCCTCGGGCGACCCCCGGGGAAACCGGCTGAGCCCGAGCCCCGCGCCGCCCGGCGCCCGGAACAGCCGCTGACACGGCGCCCCCGCTGGTGCTTCCAGGAGGCCGAGATGCAGCGCTCGCTGGCCGCGCTGGCGGGAGCCCGGCTGCTGCGCCGGCGGCCCCCGCGCTGGACCGCGCAAGCCGCCCTCCGGGCCTCGGGCGCCGCTGGTCTGGATCCGGATCCGGGGACACGCGCGATGGCAGCGGAAGGCAAGGGCGGCCTGGAGAGCTTCCGCGCCAAGTTAGCCACGGGGCCGTCCTTGCTGCGTTTCCTGAGGGATGCTGCTCCGGTGCAGGACGGGCCCCGGTTGTCCGAGGACGCAGCGGAGGACCCTGCACCCTACCTCGACCCCGGCCCCGGCCCCCCGGCTGACGCTTCGAGAAAAGGTCTGTGCCGCGGACGCCTTCGCGGGCCGGGGGCTCCCCGGAGCAGCAGTGGGGGCCTCGGTTTAGCGTCGCGATCGGATCTCCCCAAGGAACGCCCCCTCTTTTTTCCAGTGTACCTGGAGAGCTACGGCTGCCAGATGAACGTCAACGACACGGAGATCGCCTGGTCCATCCTTCGGAAGCAGGGCTACCTGAGGACCAGCCGGCCAGAGGAGGTGCGGAGTGGGCCGGCCCTTGTGTGCGCAGCGGTATTCCAGGGCAGCCGACGGGGCCGTGCGCCCTGAGAGAGCCGCCCGGTCTCCGGCCGTGCCAGTGTGGCTGCTTGGGCAGAGTGTTGAGGCGCGGCATGTCCTAGCGGAGTGCCGAAGCTCCCAAGAGGCTGCTGCCTCGTTGGTCTGCTGGGAAAGGCGCTGAAAATCCAGTAATGACTTCCCCGCTGCAGTGGACTCAGGCCTTGCTTACGAGGAGCTGTATCCGTAAGCCGAGCAGCTGCACTGCAGGCCTGCTCTCGGTAGCCCAGCCCAGGGGCCGGACCCTGTGTCCTCCCTGCGGCTTACGGCGAACGCACGGCCCGTTGGCGCAGACGCGTTCCCCTTTTTGCGAGGAGCAAAGCAGGGCAGCTGCCCAGACCTGCTGGGCTTAGAGATCACGTTCCCCCTTCGGTTCTCTTCCCCTGCGCCGACCCTGTTTCCCTCTTTCCCCTAGGCTGATGTGATATTGCTCGTCACCTGTTCCATCAGGTAAGAGGCTGTTTCAGTTTCTTTGGTTTTAAAAAAGGACCCAGCCTGTGTCCCCCAGCAGAAGGTAAGGTAACCATGCAGGTGTTGCGGGGGGGGGGGCGCATCCTCCAGGATCCATTGCTGCTCGGCTCTTATGCTGCAGAGAAGACTTCTGTGGGGACTGGCTCTACCCCAAAGCACCTCAGCAGAAATGGACTCCCAGAATCGGAGGGATCGAGAGTTAAGACAGGTGTGGGGATGGCAGGTTGCCCTGTCGTTCGGAGTGGGTCTTTTCACACTCTGCTTGGAGGCCCGTTGGGTGGATTGGAGGCGATTGTGCGCGCATTGCGCTTCCTGCGTTTCAGGGAGAAGGCCGAGCAGACCATCTGGAACCGGCTGCGTCACCTCAAAGTGCTGAAATCGAAGCGGTCTCGGTCAAGTGTGCCTCTGCGGATCGGGATTTTAGGTAATGCTCGTGGCCGATACTGTGGCAAGGCCAAAGGGCTTGGGAGCCCTCCTGAACCCACCTGGGGCAGGACCACCTTGCGCCGACAGTCACAGGGTGGGCAGGTGGCTTTCAGAGCTGCCTCTGGGGGGAGCGAGGTCTGCATGACCACTGTGCCAGTGATGGGACCAGGGGCTGGATCTCCCTGCGGCCGAAACGCCCAGAAGTGCTTTGGGCCTCTCTGCCCCGCAGTTACCTGTCTCCAGGTCATTAGCCGGTTTGGGTTGGTCCACATGCACGCTTGTCCTGCGATAATTGTAGCACCCGGAGGGCTGCGCATGTGTGAATGGACCACGGTGGATCAGCTACCCCAGGCTGAACACCCTTTTCGCTTTTCATTGGGGTAATTTGCGGCTTTCGATCCTGAACAGGGGCCTAGGCAGCTGAAACGCGGGAGAGGAGCCCCCTGGGGTCTCGGGTTTGTCTTTTCAGCTGTGAATTGCAAAGAAACAAAACTGTTCAGACAGAAGGGAAATATAATGGGGCAGATCTGAGTATCTCCGTTATTCTTGAGCGAAGGCAGAGCAGGTGGACGTGCCCATTTGCACATGGCAGCCCCGTGGGTTGTCCGTGCGCCGTTGTGCCAGGTGCTCCTGAGCGTGCGGCTCAGCTGCCCTTTCTGGGAGCTCTGCTTCTTGGCCAGTCTCACGCAGGGCTCTGCTGGGGCACCGGACGTTCTGCTCAGCTGGTGCTGCTTCTGCCCCCCCGCCCCCCAGGCTGCATGGCTGAGCGGCTGAAGGAGCGGATCCTGGACCAGGAGAAGCTGGTCGACGTAGTGGCCGGGCCGGATGCTTACCGGGACCTTCCCCGGCTCCTGGCGGTGGCCGAGTCTGGCCAGCAAGCCGCCAACGTCCTCCTCTCGCTGGATGAAACCTACGCTGACATCTTGCCTGTTCAGACCAACGCCAGAGCGACGTCAGCATTTGTGTAAGAGTGGGGTGGGCTCGCTGCTGCTCCGTTTGGGCTCAGGAGCTGAGGGGTGGCGCGTCCCCAGGGGCTTACAAGTACCCAAGAACGACTCCGTTCAGACAGCACAACAATTCAAGAGTTTGGTGCGGGTTGTTGTTGTTGAAACATGGGTTATGCTTGTTTGAACAAACATATCCCTCTGGAAGTCCCTCCAAGGCTGTCACAAAGAGGAAGGTCAAGATCTCTTCTTGCTGATCCCAGAACGTAGGACACAGAATAGTCAGGTCAAGTTGCACCACCCAAGATTCAGGCTGGGCATCAGGAAAGGCTTCCTCACTGTCAGAGCAACACGACGGTGGGCTCTCCCACACTGGAGACATCCAAAAAGAAACTGGGCAGTCACCGGAGTGGAATAGTGCGAGTTGGTTCCTCGCAACAGCTGGGGGTTGGACGCGATGGCCTTCATGGCCCCTTCCAGCTCTCCCATTCTATGATTCCGTGAACCTGGCTGTGCTAAGAAGCCATTGCTCGCAAGCCATCAGTAACCTATGAAGGCAACTCCTGGTTTGTTGGATTGCGAACTGTGGGTTGTTCACCATGGTCGGTTTTCTGGGTCCAGACACCATAATAACCCTGGTTTCAACCGCGGTTGGTTTGGCGCCCACTCGCATTCAGGCCCTTGAGTGAGCGCCCCCCGTCTGAACCCGGCCAACCCAGCAGGCGCTCTCAGACGCGCCGGCTCGGCTCCTCCCGTATTTGTCCGCCGCTGCCTCCGGGCCGCGCGGGGGGCTTCTGTGAGAACAGGCCGCGAGGCGCGGCAGCCTGTGGCCGCACGGCCCTCCTGCTCACCCGGACGCCTTCCTCCTCCAGCTCCATCATGCGCGGCTGCGACAACATGTGCAGCTACTGCATTGTGCCCTTCACCCGCGGCCGCGAGCGGAGCCGCCCCCTGGCCTCCATCCTCCAGGAAGTGCAGATGCTCTCCGATCAGGTGATCGCTCGCGTGGGATCGACTGATTGCTTGGCTGGGTTTTATTTGCCGCCCCGTCCCCACGGGCTCTGACTCGCTTGCAAGAGTTCAGCCAGCCATGCTGATTTTGCGTTATTGCTAAGAATATCTGTATCTGTTTGTTTGTTTATTTATTTGCGCAATTTGCAGACCAATCTGCATCCATTCAAAGGATTAATGAAAGAGAAAACCGTAATAGCAGTAGCGTTAAAATAATAGTCAAGATGCAGAATGAAAGGTTTTAAGATCGGGTGTTGCCCGAAACCAGCCAGTGTTGGTGCCCGCTTGGTATTGGCTGAGGGGCTTTGCAGAAGGGCGGATGGGGCACCCAAGGACCTTCCAGCCCAGCTGTGGGAGGACCGAGCTCCGCGTGGAACTGGCAGGCTGCCCAGTAGCAGGGTTCTCTGGGTTGCTAATCAAACCATAAAATGCTACTAGAAACAAAACCCCACAAAAGCCAGAATAAACAGGCTCAGAAGGCTGGAGTGGGCCAGCCAGTCTCCCTGGGGGAGGCATTCCAGAGCTGGGGTGCCCCACCAAGAGGTCATGTGAGCGGAGCCGGCTGGTGCCAGAGGTCAGACTAGATGACCTGGGAGGTCCCTTCTGACTCGCTCTGTTTCTATGCCTTTTTCCGGTGGCCATCTACAGATCTCACTGGTTGCAGGGGGGTCCTTATTTTTGTCTCTGCTGCTGTGGGGCGGTCATGGGCCCTCCGACAAGGCTGCCTTTGCTTGAAGCCGGGTTAGACAGAGGCAGAGATGCCTTCTCTCCGGGGGGATGGAGGAAACACGGAAGTGGGTGTCGTGAGAGTGCCCATCTTCCCCTCCATTCAAGTCCTGTGGGAGAAGCGTGCCTGGCAATGCAGAGCTATGGCTCAGCTGTGTGTGCCCCCCCCCCGGCCCCCTCTACTTCTGCCTGTGGGGTGTGAAGCAGGTTCGATGTTGCGGTTGCGCGATATTAACAAAATACCAGCGGTGGAGGGGCCGATGTGGCTTGGCAGCTCCGCGGGTGCTTCTGGTCGAATCCTGCCACGTGCTGTGCCGAGCGCGGAGTCTCTTCCGCGGGGGGGGGGGGGGGCTGGCTGGCCTTGCTGGCAGGGCCCCGCTCTGCTGCTCCTACCAGTCTTGAGATCGGAGACGCAGGCAAGACCTGGCCCAGTTCGCTTCTGGTCCGGATTTACTTAGTTCGCACCTTCCAGGCAGAACACCAAACTGGGCTCGAGGTGCGGCTGATGCCTGCGCATCTCCGGACTCGGAATGTGATTCTTGGACCAACGTGGTGGTTAGCGTGTGCGCGTGTGAAAAACAAGCACTTTCTAAAAAGTCCATTGATGGACAAAGAGAAGAATGTGTGCATTTCGAAGAAGTGCACAGCTCTGGAAAGGTTTGCATGGAAACATGCCCAGATTTTCCTGAGGAAAAGAAAAACAGCTCACCAACTGATCATGGATTCGTACAAGCTTTGAGGGGGAATTTGGAGAATTTCGGGATGCTCGACCATTGTTGGTCTGTGCATCCTTGTGTGAAGGAGACCTTCCTTCTTGTGGCGCCCAGCCCGGTTTCCTCAGTTCGGTGGTTGTCTCCAGACGGATGGTTCTTGCAGGTTTCTGAAACCATCCAGAAAAGAGCGAGATGCTTGGATTGCTGCCACGTGCTTTGTACGGGGGTGTCCTGGCACTTTGTCTGGACTTGCTGAGTGGCGCAGAGGGTGCAGCTGGCGGGCCGAGCTGGGCGCTTGGCCGTGTGCTTCTCACGCAGGCGCCCCTGGGCTGGCAGCTCTTAGCCTCTGGGCCGCGTTTGGGGTCCTGCTCTGGCAGGGGTCCCGTGGCACCTCACTTCCCTCCTGGAGCACCCCCTGGCCACTGGGCATCTCCAGAGGCGCTGGCCCACGGCCCGGCTCCCTCCGGCCAGCCCCGGGAAGGCTGCCTTGGAAACCCTCGCTTCCTCTGACCCCGACCGGCTGGTTGTCCGGCCGGCCTCCCCTTCCCAGGGTGTGAAGGAGGTGACCCTCCTGGGCCAGAACGTCAACAGCTACCGGGACACCTCCGAGGCCCAGTTCCTCGCGGCGGCGACGCCAACGCGCCTGAGCCACGGCTTCAGCACTGTCTACAAAGCCAAGCGGGGCGGCTTGCGCTTCGCAGAGCTCCTGGACCGCGTCTCTGCCATCGACCCCGAGATGAGGATCCGGTTTACTTCGCCGCACCCCAAGGACTTCCCGGACGAGGTGGGTGTGACGTGGGCTGGGGGACCTGGGGGGTGAGCGCTCGCCGGCCCGCAGGCCGGGCCTCGCCTGACTCGCTGTTCTCGGCAGGTCTTCGTGCTCATGCGGGAGCGGCCGAACGTCTGCAAGCAGCTGCACCTCCCGGTCCAGAGCGGCAGCACCCGCGTCCTCGAGGCCATGCGGAGAGGGTCAGTGGCGGGGGGGGGCGTCCTGAAGCGCAGCCCACCCGGCCCCGGCCCCGGCCCCGGGCGCCTTCGCCAGGCTGGCCAAGCGCAGAAGCGTGCCGTCGCTCCCGGGTCGGCGTGGCCCTGCTGCCTGGCTCCGCGCAAGGGGCCCTGCTCAGGCCGCTGCTGCTCACAGTGCACCTTCCTCCCAGGTACACGCGGGAGGCCTACCTGGAGCTGGTGCGCCACGTCCGGGACATTTTGCCAGGTAGGCGCTGCAGCTCCGCTCCCCGCTTGCCCCCCCCCCCCCCGCCCCGGGCCGCCCCCGGGGCCGCCCCGGGCGGGGGGGCGAGAGGGGGGGGTCTGGCTGGGCTGGGCTGGGCTGGGCTGGGCTGCGTCGCGTGAGGTCGTGCCGCTGCCGGGCGTCCCCAGAGGAGCTGGACTGCCGCCCGTGGGCACCGGCGCATCGCGGGGGCGGCCGGCTGGGGAAGGCTGCCCCGCTGCAGCCTCTTCTGTCGGCGCTCGTGCCTCCGGGACCCTGAGCCTGGGGAGGCCGCTGGTGCACCGGAGCGTAGCCCACAGGTGGGGCTGCGTGTGGGACTGTGTCCTACCCCCCAGGAAAGGCCCCCCCCGTTTTGTGCAGCCCCCTTCTTTGGGGCAAGGTCCATCACGTGCCTCCAGAGGTCAACATGCTGTGGAGGGCCGACGGGGAGCGAGGGAGCACGTGGGCGGCTGGCCGGAGGGCAGCCCACCACTCTGGCTTCTGGGAATTCACCCCAACTGTTCTGAAGTGTGTGTGTTCCTGCACTCCTCAGGGTGCCTCTTCCCCCCTTGGGAATAAGGGGCGGGAGGTGAGTGGGGTGGCGGCATCTCCTTTCGGCTTTTTCTAAAGGAGCATCAGACGCCCTTATTCTGGTGCGGAGCTGCCGGGATGCGCCTTGCCAGGCCTAGTTGTGCGACGGGCGCGTGCGTGGCTGGGGTGCTGCGGCCGGTTTGGGGCCGGTGCCCCAGTGGCAGTGCCCAGCGAGCGCCTCACTTCGGCCCCCGCTGTGCCAGGCATCCACCTCAGCAGCGACTTCATCACCGGCTTCTGCGGGGAGACGGAGGCCGAGCACCTGGAGACGGTGTCGCTGATGCGGGAGGTCCGCTACCACGTGGCCTTCATCTTCGCGTACAGCGAGCGCCAGGTGAGGAGCGAGTCTCGCGTTCCTGGCAAACCGCTCCCCAGGCTTGTGCACCTGGGAGGCCGGCCCTAGGCGACGGCGCTCCCGCACCTCCTCGGCCCGGCTTTCCAAAAACCGAGCGCAGCTTTCTGTGCTCGGCTGGGGGGAGCCCCTCCCATGAGCTTCGCCCCTCCCAACCCCCCTTTCTAGCAAAAAGCTGCCTGAAGTGGAATAATTGAGCTGGAAGCCCGTCAGTGTCCCGGAGGTGTTGGGCTATGCCTTGCGTGTGTCCCCGTCCACACTCTGAGCCCGGGGTGATGCACACGTGACTGCAAAATGCAGCCCCCCCCCCGCCTCCCCGTGCTGCTTGTCTCTGGGTCACCGGCTTCCTCTTCCCCCAGAAAACCCGGGCGTTCCACCGGCTGCAGGATGACGTGCTGCCGGAAGTCAAGCAGCGGCGCCTCCGGGAACTCGCGGCCGTCTTCCGGGAAGAGGCCGCCCGGGCCAACGCGGCCGCCGTGGGGCGCAGGCAGGTTGTTTTGGTGGAGGGGGTGAGTGTCGCTTGGCAGAATGGCGCTGGAGCCAGGAGGGCGGGTGGGAGCCGTTTGCACGCGAGAGCCCCCCGGATCAGGCCGGGCCCAGACTGGGTGGTGGGCCGTGCCGGAGAGCACACTGGGGGGCGAACGGGCCCCGGCATGTGTTGGGTCATCCCAGGCTGCTGGCCGCAGAACGGCAGGCTTGAGACGAGAGAGTCGGAAAACGCCTCATGGAAGGAGCAGCCAGCGTGTGGGGGGCGCGCCGTGTCGGAGTCACCAAAGGGGCGACGGGCAGCCCCCGCCAGGGACGCTTTGCACTGGGCTGGACTCGACGCAGAGGCCCCGTCCAGGCAGCCGCTCCGCTGCCTCGTGCAGAGCTTGAAGCCGTGGCGCCAGTGCGGCATTTATAGGAGCAGGCGGCTACAGAGCCGTCGGTGCCCATGGCCTGGCTCTCGGAGCCGAGCGGACCCTTCGGCTTGAGGGTGGGAAGCCGAGGGCAGCGACCTCTCGTGCTCCAGCTGTGGCTCTCCCTTCCCGAGGGGCCAGGGGCTGCCCAGGGCGAGGGCAGAGCCATTTCAGCTGCTGCTCAGTGTGCGTCCGGATCGCGCACCCGGGAATGGGCGACTCGGAGGCCAGGATGTCTGGAGGGCCGCGGGTCCCATCATCCCTCACCCTGGCTAAGCCAGCTAGGGCTGATGGGCACTGCAGGCCCGCACTGCTGGAGGGCCAGAGTTGGGGGTGTAATGCCACCCGGCCATGCCTGGAAGGAAACGGGGGGGGGGGTCCCAGGCCCGTGACGACGCCCTGCCTCTTCGGACCCAGCCAGCCAGCGGAGCCCGTCACCGCCCTGGGCCTGCTTTGATTCCAGGGCTGCCTTGGGACTGGCCGAAGCGGGGGCTGAACCGGGGGCGGGGAGGCTAGGAAGGAGACAGGCCACGTGGGGTGAGCGCAGGCCATTCCAGCGCCACCTCGGGTGCACGTCTGCCCCCCCGGCACCCGTGGGACGATGCCACGGCTCCCCACGGCCGCCCGCTCACGCGGCACGGGAAGCCCCACTCCGGCAGCGGCTCTGAAGGGGCTCGCGCGGCTTCTTCTCCAGCACAGCAAGCGCTCCACCCGCGACTTGTGCGGCAGGAATGACGGCAACGTCAAAGTCATCTTTCCAGACGTGGAGGTGGAGGACGGCACCGGCTCGGGGGCCACGGTCCGAGCCCAGCCGGGCGACTACGTCCTGGTGGAGGTGAGCTGCCAGCCCCGGGGAGAAGCCGCCCTGTGGCGAGGGCCGCCTCGCGCCGTCGCGCCCTGCACGGAAGGAGGCAGCGGTCGGCGGGATCTTTCCGGGGGAGACCTGGTGCGCCGAGGGCGATTCCCGTGTGAGGGAGGTGGGAGCTCCCCTGGCTGGTGTTGCAGTTGGTGACCCCGCACAACCCGCCCCCTCTCTGCCTGTCTGTGTCTCCCGCCCCCCTCCGTCCAGATCTCTTCCGCAAACTCCCAGACGCTCAGGGGGACGCCACTACGCCGGACGTCGCTGAGGGAGTCCGCAGCGCTTCTCTGATGCGTCCCCGAGCGAGGTCAGGCCGGTGGCTCGGAGGACGGAGGGCTCCCGGGCTGGGACCCCGCCACGGCTCTTCCCTGGACCTGGTCCGGCACAGTGAGATGGACTGGCGGCTCAGACACGCACCTCGGCCTGGACCTGGGGGGCCTTCCGGGGCTCCCGCTCTTGCTCTGGTCCAGCCGCTGCTCCTCCCTGCGCTCTTGTGCCGCGCGAAGCTTGCCCGTCCTGGCAAGAAGGAGCAAGACGAGGCGCTCGGAACGCGCAGCAGGAGCTGTGGCGGAAGACGCGGGGAGCAGCGGGGTGGGAAGATGGTGGCCGGCCGGCTGGGAAGAAAGCAGCGTGGGCCTCGCATTTGCACCGCTATTGCCGCTCCGGCCTGTGTGCTGCATTTATAGACGTTTCCCGTGGGTCTCCTGGCAGCGGTCGCCTGACTGCTGGAGTGCTTTTTCCGTCCGTGCTCACAGCCCCGTCTCCCCCGAGTCCTCCCCGAGGCTGCTCCCGCGTTATGTGGGGCCAGGGGATCCTTCCTGGGGGAAAGCGTGCCTGAGCGTCCGACAGCCTCCTCCCACAGCAACCGGCTGGCGCACCATGACGGGGTGCGCCCCGGGGCACATTTCAGCCTGACTGGGGCAGGGCTTGTGAGCGAAAGGAAGCGGAACAAATGAGTGTGTGGATATCCCGAAAGGATGTTGGAACGGCTTGTTGGGCGCATTTTACGGCCATACGCAAGGAAGGGGCTCTGCGTGCCCCCTGCTGGGGGGAAAGTGGCATTCTTTCCAAGTTCCCGCGACTCTGCCCCGAGACACACCCCATAAGCCGTGTAAATGAAGAGCGTGTGCAGGCTTGGAGTTGATTTTGCAAAATGTATTTATTCAGCCAGAGCCCCGTGATCCCAGAGACAGCGCAACCAGTCGGAGTGCGCCTTCATGTCGCACCTCGTGATAATTAAAACGTATTTTCCAGCTTTACAAGCCTGCCGTCGTGGCTCAGGCCTCTCTGATTCAACAGCAGCAGCATTAGGACACACCGCAAGGCAAGCAAGCACGGCTTACAATCTTCGGGGCAGGAGGCCCCCCGGCACCCAGAGGAGGGGGTCGCCTGCACCGCCCTCCTGGCGTGATCATGCTGGCACTGTGGGCAGAGGGTTCTGCCAGTGAGGCGGTGCAGCCCCCGCGCCCCTCCTGCGGGAAGCCAGGGGCCCGGGGCGGGCTGCTAGTCCGGCGGACCCTCCCGGGCCGCGCTGTCGGCTTCTGGGCCACACCGGGCTGCGGTGGGCGAGCTTGGCTCTGGGTGCTGCTGGCGCAGCTGTTTCTCCTCTCCGGATCAGGCCCTCTCGGATGTGCAGGACGGCCTGGGGCAGCGCAGACAGGAAGTCCCTCCCTCCCTCCCTCCCTCCCTGCTGTGGGTGCCCTTTAGCAAATGGATCCACGAGTAACGGCAGCAGACACCTCTCGCTGCCTCCGCAGTGGTGGGGAGTGGAGGCACCCCCTCCCAGTCCTCAACTTCTGGGACCCCTGTCCTAGCCCCAACCTCTCCCCGCCCCCCCCATTTGTGAAGCTCTGGGAAGGGCTGGTCATCCCAAGGCGAGGAAGACTTCCGTGCGCTTGGCCGGCCGGTGGGAGCGTTGAAGGCATCTCTCCCAAGCCGGCAGCTTGCCCGCCACTTCAGAAAGGTGGGACTAGGCCAGGCGCTGTGCCCAGCCGGCCCTGCTTCGGAGCCAGGGGGGGCTGCCCCGGGCATGCTGCGGGCACCGGGAGGGCCGGCCCGGCCCCGTTGGGCGCCAGGCGGCAGGAAGGTCTGGGGCACAGGCCCCGCTCCGTTGAGTCGACCCAGCGGAAGGGCAGAGGGGGCAACAGGGCTTGAGCTTCTCCCCTTCAAGGCACTCCCCCCCCCCGGCTCTGCGGGGGCCTTGCTCTGGCGAGCAGCGTCTCTGGCCTCGGGAGTGCCTCACCTGGGAGGTGGCCACCTCCGGGTCACAGATGCCCCGCCAGGCGACAGGGTTGGCGCTCGCTCTTGGAACGCGCCTTCAGGGAGGGATGAGGAAGTCGCGCACGAGCCCCCGAGGTGAGGGGATGCTGGGGGTCCTGCTCCCGGCTTGCCTCCGAGCGCCCCGGCTCCCTCCGCAGCCTCTGCCTTGGTGTATGCGAGGCAGCCCGAGAGCCATTTCACGGGAGAGCCGGGCACAGCCCCGTCGCGTGGCAGGAATGGGCCGCCTCGTAGCCCCGCTGCCCCCGGTGCGGGTGCAGGCTCCGTGGGGCGGGGCAGGGCAGGGGGTGAGGGGCTCCCAGTGGGCCGGTGCATTTACGGTTCAGCACGCTGAGGGTCTTGCGCACGACGGCTTCGCCCAGGGCTTGTTCTGCGCCTTCTGGAGGGAAGACGCGGCGACATTTACTCTAGGCAGCCGCTTCCCCGTTGGAAGCAGCCCAGGGATGAGGCGGGCAAGTGGGGGAGCGCCGAGGGACCTGCGGTGCAGCAAAAGACCCCCTCTGCGGCCCCCCAGATGTGCTGAATCGCAGCTGCATGCCCAGAACATCTGGAGGTACTGCGCTGGGGAAGGTCGTCCTCGAAAGAGCAAGCCAGAGCCCACGGCAGGGCGCCCGGGTTTGCCCTCCCCGGCGAGGCTCCTGTTCTGCATTGGTGGCACCCACAGCCTGCTCTCCGCATCTGAAGTGGCTGCGGGCACCGGGGGGTCTCACGTGCTTCAGGTGGCCTGCTCAGGACCCAGAGGAGCCACCGGGATCCTCCTGCTTGCTCCTCTTGCCGCCCTCCTGTTTCCTTTCTCTCTCAACCCCATAATCTCTCGACTGAGTCCCCCCCCGGGACCCTGGACGCACGCAGGGGCTTGCTGGGAAACGTGGCTGCCAGCAGAACCTCCCAGGCTGACGGGGCTTTTTGCAAGGAGAGCTGGATCCACCCTTCCCCAGACACGACTGGCTGCGTCTTAGAAGAGCCGGAGAGCAGAAACGCACTTGCAACCATGCCTGCTTTTGGTGTGGAAGTTAACACGTCGCTGCCACTGTGAGAGCAGCAAGCCAAAGGCAAAATCAGCCCAGCTGCCCCGCCGGAGGTCAGGTCGCCCCTCTGGGCCACTTGCCGTCCAGTGCAGCAGCCAAGCCTCTGTCTAACTGGATCAGGTCAGGAGGTCAGACTAGATGGCCCAGGGGATCCCTTCTGACTCGCTCTGCTTTCTATGTTTCTAACAGGCCGTGTGCCCCCTGCAGCCGGCCCACCAACCTGGTCTGTGTTTAGGGGGGGCTGGTCCCTACTCCTCCTGGCCACCCATCTGTGGCGCCAGAGTTTGGGCTCAGGAAAGCAGCACAGGCACGGGTTCCACAGATGGAATCTGCTTTTTCAGCCCTCCCCGAGCTGGAGGCCCCCCGAGAGTGCCGGACCGCACCTCCCGTGGGATCCCTGGCCACGTGCGTACCCCTTGGCCATCACCATGGGAGCAGCCGCTAGCGCGACAGCTGCCTCTGGCTGGCCGGCCGGCCTGTCATGGCCTCTGCCGTACTAACCGCCTGCACCCAGCACAGGTGTGCCAGCTGCCCGGCCCTCTGCACGAGCCTCAGAGCCACCGGGGGGCAAGCCACCCCCCCCGAGGGGGGGGGGGGGGGGGGGGGCTACATTTGGCTTGCAACTGCAGTCCTTTGCGCGAGCTGGGAACGGGAGCAGCGGCCACAGTGCTGGCTCGGGAGACAGGAAACGCGGGCCTTGCCTTTGAGGGGACCGCAGCCCACCTCGCCCTTGCCTGGCCTCCCCCGAGAGGGTGGCAGTGAGCCCGGGGCAGCACTGCGAGCGACGGCTTCACGCCTGGGAAGGAGATGCGTGAGGCTGCTGACCCTCACACTGGTGACACCCGGAACTTGCAGGCCTCTCGTGGGAGTCCTGGCCTGCCTCGCAAGGCCGTTGCCATGCGTGCCAAGATACAGGCATGCGCGGCGCTCCTAAAGCACCTGGACTTGGGCTGCCCCGGAGCTTGGTGGTTCGTGACTGTCCTGCGTGTCCTTGGTCCCCGTTCCGGCCCCGGCAGCCTCGCCGGTGAGGGCTTGGGAGCGCTCCATCTGGAACCCCAGGCGATGCGGTGGTGCCAGGCCGTGCGAGCCCGTGGCTGCCCCATGGAACGAGCTGCTAACGGGTCTGCTAGACGATGAGAAGGCCTGACCTGTCTAGGGAAGGCCTGGCAATCCGCCTGCTTCCCGAAACTTCAAGAGCCGTTTTCAAACGCACATCCTGCAGGCAGACAATGGGAGTCCATCACTGGTCCTTCCCCCCCGCCCTTGCTTCCCAGTCGCTCGCTCTCAGTGGGGATGGCCCAGGAGGCCTGATGCGCTGCCGTGGCGCCAGGGGAGGGAGGCCCGGGTGGTGTATTTCAAGCAGCATCTGTGATACAGCTTCCCATTCTGCCTCTGAGCACCGAAAAAAATGTTCGCACCGGCCCACCTCTGCGCTTGCCTCCTCTGCATAAGAATCTGGAGTTTGCATGCAGACACAGATCAGATATTCTCAGCAGCCTCTTTTGATCCACAGGATCCCAGGCTTGCTTGTTCTACTGAGCATTATAATAGTGTGGTTTAAATTCCGAGTAAGTTGCTGCCTCAGCCCTTGGCTGTCCAGGTGCCGGACCTGCCCCACAGCCAGGGCGGGACGCGGAGGCCCGGCAGGGGCCAAGGCGCCAGGCGGGGTGCAGAACGGAGCACAAGGACGCTGGATTCGGATCGGGCGGGGGGTGAAAATTGGCAGAAGAGACACCGCTAATTCAAGATACGCCGAAGATACCAGACTATTGGCGGAAAGTAGCGATGGCTTGAAATGAGTCTTGGCACAAGTGCGAGAAGAAAGTACAACAGCAGGACTGCGGCCGAACATTGAGAACGCAAAAGTCCTTCCGCAGACGGAGCGCGGAGCTTCAGTGTTAAAATGAAGAAACAGAACCCAGAAAGATGTCGCATCGTCGGGCTCAGCCACGCTCTGGAAGGGAGGCTGCAGCCCAGAAATTCGAAGAAGGCCGAGGCGCGGGAGGGCCGCAGCGAAGGAGCCCGAGGAGGCCGTCGAGCGCAGGGGCGTCTCACCGGAGAGCAGGCCAAGCTCATCCGCACTCGTGCTCCCGATCTCCATGTCCGGGTGGGGAAGCTGCACAGGGAAGAGAGCCGGCAGGAACTGCTGCATTTGAAACGTGGTCCAAACATGGCGCTGGAGGAGAGCTCTGCGAAAGAGGAGCAAGGAGGTCCTAGATCAAGTCAAGTCAGAACTTTCCTTGGAAAAAAAAAAAGAAACTGAGGCCGTCCTACTTTGGGCACATTATGAGAAGACAAAATTTGAAGAAGACAATAAAGCTCTGGAAGGTTGAAGGCCGAAGAAGAGGAAGGCCAAACATGAGACGGCTCGTGTTGGTGCATATTCCAAACAAATCTTCCGCCCGATGTGGTGTTTATTTCCCGGCTCTCGCATTCAAATGCAGGCATTGATCATGGTGAAAAAAAAAGTATTTCCCCAATTTTTTGGATCAAGGTTGGGGTTCAAAAAGACCCAGAGATCCAGGCATATTTGCACAGACGCAGATGAGGGTTTTAAGGACCGAATATGCTCCTCAGTAGGATTTTCTCTGGACTCAGCCCTGGCTTGGCTTTGGCTGCATGACCCCAAGACTTCCAGGACCTTCTAGTAATGTGTCCAAGCGATGTGTCTGTTCCTCCAGGTCCGACTGTGGACCACCAAACAGCTCTGGGGAGACCTGCTGGAAGAACAGGCATCAAGAAAACGTTGAGCAAAGGAGCCACCTCAGCTCTGCCCTCTTTGACTCCTGGTTGTAAGCACAGGGATATTCAGCTGAAAACTGGATTTTGGAAGGGCTTTTCTGTGCAAAGAACACGTTTTATTCTTTCCTCTTATGCTGTGTCTTTTTAGAATGTAGGCTTGAGGGCCAGGGCTGAAGTCTTTCTAAACTGGCCTGGAAGCCTTTTTGTTTGGG